TTTAGGCATTTTTCAACTTTTTCTACAACGTTGGTGTAGAAGCATTTTATATCTAGACTGGCCATGCATTTTTCAGTCATGTTCAATTCCCTTAATTTTTTAACTAGGCTGTCTGAGTCTTTTACATTAAATGAACTGATTGTTCTAAGGAGAGGGGTTAGAATTTTTTTATGACTTTCACCAGTTTATGGCAGACACTGTCTATTCCTGAGATAATGGGACGCATTGGGATACCAGTTTTATGGGTTTTAGAGAGACCATAAAGTTTGGGTCTTCTGGTGTGATATTCTATAAGTCTATACCAAGATTTCTTATCAATTTTAATTAGTTTCCTGATGTGCTTGTTAAATTTTTGTTTCAGCAGTTATTTTTCTCATTTATTTTTTCGTATGTGTTGGTGTCGTTGAGTAGTGAGTTAATTTTTTCTATGTACGTATTATTGTTCATGATCACAATCCTCTCCCCCTTCTCAAAGAGAGTGACGTGGATTTCCTTATTTCTTACTAGGTTCTTTAGTGCATTTAGGTGTATCATTGGTAATGTATTTTCGTTATTGGCACCCTGGCTCTTATAACATTTCACTATTCCTGTCAGATCTTCTAATATCACCATCCGGAATACCTAAAAGAAAAAGACTCTAAATGAATTTGGCTGATAAGAAAAAAAAAAATACTAAAATTCCAAGCACCCCTCGGTTGTGCACATGTGTAGTCTTACCAACACAACAAATTTAGTCCGATGAAATTCGGAAAGATGAAAAGTGACACAAGTAAACTTTTTCCATTTTGTCATACAATTTTCCCAATATATATACATATTATAAAACATTTGGACATAGTTAAAATATATCTGTAAGAAAGCAATATTAAGACTACTATGAATGTAATCAGAACCAATAATAATTCTTAAGCAGGTATATATAAAATAAACAAATTGTTTCTTGCAAGATATTGGGGAAACTTGCAGAAATTTAAAAAATATACCTACGAACACAAAAAGAACCACAACAGATTGTCAAATGAATGAATCCTACATAGAAATATGTTCAATCAAAACTTTGATCTAAAGAATGCTACACTTATTAAAAGAAAAAGTAACTTAGATGGCAAAATCTTCAGAGTGTCATTATTGAATCTTACTAAAATATAAATCTGCAGCCCAGGTTTTTTCAAATATCTTCTTTCCTAATAGAAGCACTCTTTTCCCAAGCCATCATACATCACTATGAAAATTTTTAAATTTCAAAGAAAACTGTTAAATATATATATATATATATATATATATAGAGAGAGAGAGAGAGAGAGAGAGGTTTAGGTAAATGAAATAACTAGATATTAGCAAATGTATATATGCATGCTGGTGTGCATACACAGGTAAGCAAATAAATAATTACCAAATTTTGCCAAGAGGTGTAGACATAATTGTGTTCAATATGGTTAGAAAGAGCTAAGAATTATATATTAATAAATATGCATATACCTATCTTTAGTGTGCAACTTAAGATTCGTTGGTTACCCAACTCATCAGACACAAGATATAGCTTATTATTGATCAAAAAAAAATTACTGATGTTCATGGGAAGGATGCTGATTCATAGTTAAAAATTAAAATAGTACAAAAATAGTGCAAAAGCAATACTGGGGTTAAGTGCAGAAAATGGGGTGCAGGTATGAGTCATTAGGAAAAAAAATGGAATTTGAAGCACATTTAAAATTTAAAATTTGAATGGGGGATGCAGCTCAGAAAATGAAGTTTGAATGGCTGAAGGGAGTAATGTTCTAAAATGAAGGTAAACAGAAAATTAAATTTAGATGAAAAGTAAATTATCCAGGATTACAATATTTTAAGAGAAACATCTTTCTATGCATACAACTAGACATAAGCTAATTCTGCTTATTAAGTAGATTAAAATTGTTAATATTTTTTAGGATTAAATTCTTTTTTAGTAAATATAGATTGCATCAGTCCCCCTGGCCTGAAAATGGATTGATTTTAGTGACAAATTCCCAATTTGCTGCAGGTATGTAGCTATCTGATTTGATACCACAGTAAATCTTTGAGAGTGCTGTAGCATTTGTGTATTTTTGTTGTTAAGGGTCAATTTGTGATGATAAAAACGTTTTTTCCAATTAGTTGCAGTTGACTGGAAATAAAATTTAATTTGGTCATTATGCCTGATGCTGGCCTTATAGATAACTCTTTTATACATACACTTGCCATTCATAGGACAGATGGTTCCTTTACGACAATTACATCTTTGATTTGTTTAGGGTTAGGCTATTATGCTGGGCTATATATTGATCAAGGTTTCTTGTGCAGCTGTAGCTAACCATAATGTTGTTCTTGTTAAAGATTTTTTTGAGAAAAGTGTTATGGTTAAAGCATTTTTGTACTAATCTAAAAAAGATTCTACCGATGTTGGTCCTGACATTACTGCTAAAGGATGGGTTGAATCAAATTATGTTGCATTTTCTATTTGACCTTTTTTGGCAACTCGTCATTTAATGAGAGACTTTCCTTATTTTGACCTTTTTTGAGCAACTAGTCATTTGGAAAATGACTTTCCTTATTTTGACCTTTTTTGAGCAACTAGTCATTTGGAAAATGACTTTCATTATTTTGACCTTTTTTGGCAACCAGTCATTTGGTGAATGACTTTCTTTATATTGACCTTTGCAGTTTAATATTGGTACCCGTGCTAGTGTTTGGGACTCTAATTTAATGTTATGCTTACTTTTATTAAGTGCATCAACATATTTGGTGCTGAATTTGTCAAAGATGTATTTATTACTGGAGTTAGTAGAGATTCTATGTTGCCCAGATTTGTGCAGGTTATTAAGTACACTTGGTGGGTGGTTAGATTTTTTATGAAGGTATTTATGTTTATAAGGTTCCTTAATATAAGATAGATTGAAAGTAGCATCTAGAAAGTTGATCACCCTGGCGTTGGTGATAATGGTGATATTAAGTCTGTGATCTTTAAAGAATTTGATTAGTTGTTTCCTGAGCCGGTCAGTTTGCTGTAGATTGGTGTTTTGTAGAAGTACAGACCAGTGCTCTCACTATTAAAAATATACCTGAGCTTCCATAGTAGTAGGCTGCCAAGTAAATCACAAGCTAATATTGGTTCAATTGGTTTGCTAATATAAAAAATAAGATCAAGTGCACCTTTATGCAATTCAACACCTGCAACTTTTACCTGTCGATCACTGAAGATCTACTAATGGCTGCTATAACCCTGGCCAAGAATTACTGCACCATCTCCAATGAAGATATTAGCATCATTATGCAAACCCCAAAACCCAGACTATATCATGCGGGGTCTTTGTGGACTAAAAAAAAGACAACCCTAACTTCTTTATAACAATGGGAGCGTTTAACTTTGTGGAAGCTTGTAATTTTCCAAGACCCTTTTCCTCATTATGCACCTGAAAAATTTCATCTGACGCTTCCTGATGTTAAGTATAAGTTTCCTTTCTCTTTCCATTTTCTCTAAAACTTTGTTTTTGCTCACATATTCAGTCCATGTTATCCTCAGCACCATTCTGTTGCTTCAAATCTCTTCTTCATATTTGAGGAGATTGTTCAGCATTCATTTACTGAAGCCATTCACATCCAACTTCCACAAATAAAAATAACACCCTTGCTTGAAAGCATAAAGAAGAAAATTATTTTCAGAAATATGTTATTACATGTTGAGGTAATATGACTTGCTTTATCTCACCACATTTGATTGAGTTTTCAAAAAATAATGACACTTTCACAAAATATAACTGACTTCTTAAAATGCAATTAATTATCTTTTCCCAATCATTCCCTGCAATGATAATTTATGCAAGTTAAAATGTTGGGACTACACACCATTTATTTGTGCCAATTTATCCACACACAACAACTACAAAATAAATAAATGATAGTTAAATATGATCAATACAAAATATCTATTGTTTTTATATATATATATATGAAGAAATATAGTTTTAAGGTGTGCTATATATGTGGGGTAAAGTACTAAATATCAGAGATAGAGTGTATGTAAATATAAAAGTGAACATTAACTCAACACTTAGAGGTGACAGACTGTTTCACACTAGATGCAATCATCAGACATGATCATTGCATCTAGCATGAAACAGTTTGTCACCTTTGAGTGTTGACTTCAATGTCCACTTATATATATGGATGCATGGTGGAGTAATGGATAGTGGCTTGGATTGAGGAATCGGTGATCCAAGTTTGAAATCCAGTTAAATCCATTAGATTCACTTATGTGTTAATATCCTTGGGAAAGATATGAATCCTCTTCTTCTCTCCCAAGCTATGGCTAAATAGCAGGACAGACGGGGTTCTATAGCTTTGGGTGGGACCAGTCTCAGAGAAGGAAAAAGTGAAATTCAAACCAGCAGGCCAACTTGCCCAAGGAAGAGCACATTTACTCAGGCTGTGGTACGTATATGGTGCTTGTATGACTCTCATGGGATTTGTGATTGTGATATATATATATATATATATATATATATATATATATATATATATTAGGAACCAAAGGTAATTGGTAAAACCAACACAAAGCCTGCCAAGTGACAAAAGAAAATAAAAACATAGCATTAAGAAAAACAAGAGAAAAAAAAACATTTATGTTTCCTTTCACATAAAGACAAACACTGGCCAAGACAGAGAAAATACACTACCCAGGGACACAAAATGCTCTCTCTCTCTCTTTTTATATATATATATATATATATATATATATATATATATATATATATATATAAATATATATATGAGAACAATGAAAGAAATACAATAAAGTTTGAATTAGAAAAGAAAGAAAGAAAGGAATAGTGAAAGAAAATGAAAAAGGAGAAAAACATGTAAGAAAAGGAGTGACTTAAAAAAGAAAGAAAGAAAGAAAGAATTGGAACAGTTTGAGGGAGTGAGCATGAAAGAAAGAAAGAAAGAAAGAAAGAAAGAAAGAAAGAAAGAAAGAAAGAATTGGATTAGTTTGAGGGAGTGAGCATGAAAGAAAGAAAGAAAGAAAGAAAGAAAGAAAGAAAGAAAGAAAGAAAGAAAAAAGAAAGAAAGAATTGGAACAGTTTGAGGGAGTGAGCATGAAAGAAAGAAAGAAAGAAAGAATTGGAACAATTTGAGGGAGTGAGCATGAAAGAAGGAAAGAAAGAAAGGGAAAAAAATAAAAGATGGAAAGAGAAGAAAAAAAGGAAAGAAGTCAACGAAAAAGGAGGAAAACATGTAAGAAAAGGAGTGACTGAAAGAAAGAAAGAAAGAAAGAAAGAAAGAAAGAAAGAAAGAGAAAAGTTTGAGATAGGATGCAAGAGATGAAATAAAAATGGAAAGAAATAAAGAATTGGAACATTTTGAAATAGTAAGAAAGAAAGAAATGGAAAATTTGATATAGTTAGGAAGAGATGAATAAAGAAAAAAAGAAGAAAGGAATTGGAACAGTTTGAGACATTGAACATGAAAGAAAGAAAGAAAGAAAGAAAGAAAGAAAGAAAGAAAGAATAAAATAAAGGATGGAAGTAAACAAAAAGAAGGAATAGTGAAAGAAAATTAAAAAAAGGAAAAACATGTAAGAAAAAGAGCGATTGAAGGAAAGAAAGAAAGGGATAAAGAAAAATGAAAAAGTTTATTATAGGAAGCAAGAGATAAAGAAAGAAAGAAAGAAAGAAAGAAAGAAAGAAAGAAAGAAAGTATTGGAACAGTTTGAGACAGTGAGCATGAAAGAAAGAAAGAATGAACTGGAAATGTTTGAGCCAGCCATCCTGAAATGTAGATATATAGAACTGAGTTAGTTTCAGATGAAAAATAAAAAGAAAAAAAAGAAAACTGGCAGAAATGGAATGGAGCTTGAGAAAGATTTGGAAAGTTTACATAATGAGATAAAAATGGACAAAGATGATTAGAATACACCAAGACAGATAAAATTGGTACAGACTGAGATATAAATAAAGATAATTTTACTAGAATAAATTCTTTTTAATTGAGGAAAACAACCAACTCCCAGATAGTTGAAGAATGACTCCAAGAAATAATTACTTAATTATTTGATATTTTTGGTAATTATCCTGATTATGGTGGGTATTTTTCATTTGATAGGACAATTAAAAACCTAAATTCTGGCAAACTATCACGTAAACACATAAATTTATGAGAACGACCTCAATGCTGAAAGAGTAATTGAGACAACAAAAAAAATTCCACACCAATTATCTGTGCATGTTGAAAGTGGTAGGAGTTAAATTTTTTAGGGACTGGTTTGTTCTTTGCTTTACATTCAATTAACTTCTTTTTGCATCCATAAAAATCTGGGATTCAAATTTTTATGGAAACTGCTTTGCATCCAAAAATTTCTAGGATTCAACATTTTTAGGAACTTCCTCTCTTTTTATATTAAATATCTATGTTTATTTCGGTTCTTATACTTACAATGTGTCTGTATTTGTATTTGTTAACTTTTTTGTAATTTCAATCTGAACACTTTATTAAATCAACAGTGGTTGACTGTTCTCATTCAACTTTCCATGCTTAGTCTTAGATAATACCTACCAGTTTTATTCACCTTTGTGTTGCTTGTTTGTTCTTCCACTAAACAAGTGTATGTGACTACAAGATTACATATATATGGTGAACTCTTCCATTGTATTTGACGTATGACAGTCAAGCAGCTCAGTTCCTAGGAAACCGACAGCTCAGACACCAGCACATATGATTTGATTATAGTGGTGAAGGCTTTGTACAGAACCAACCACACTTTTTGAAGGGCCGGTTACAGAGACCTGGTGTACTAAGTGCCACAAGGTTCCCAAATGACCCTCCGCAGGTTTTGAATTCAGAGTTTTCCTTATCCTAGACCAGTTGCCATCCAAGGCTATAGAACCCAGTCTGTCCTGCTATTTACCCATAGATGAAAGGAGAAGAGGATTCATACCTTTCCCAAGCATATTAGCACATAAGTGAATGTAATGGATTCGACTGGAATTTGAATTGGGCTCTCCAATTCCTCAATTGAGCCACTATCCACTACTCCACTGTGCCTCCTAAACACACGCACACACACATATATGATAGGATAAAAAACAAGTAGGAAAGATATCTCAATCTAACATATGTCACTTTATTTAAGCTTTGTCAGAGATGAAGAGAGAAATGATAAAAAAATGATAAAAAGCAAAGAGATGCAGATAAATTGTATATTGTGTTTAGTTATTTCTTATTGGTTTGTTACCTGTCATGTGTAATGAAGTAACAGATAATATTCAATTTTGAAACATTCTGGATTCTAAAATGTTTAAAAGTTAGTGAGACGCAGCAGAATGTTTTGAAAAATTTTGTTTTCTTTCACTTTTTCATTAAAACATATCTCGTGCATATTTTGTAGACATCTTCATTGATTTTTATATATTATAAACATGAAATTTAGCTTCATGAATAACAGATCTGTAGAAAATCGTGGTGTAATGTAGTTTTTTAAACTTGTGT